TGTCAGCCGAGATGTGGCAACTTGCAATTAGTATTGATTATTCGTCCAAGGTAAAGAAAAGTTTGTTATTAAAGAGTAATTCTTATGGAGGTCTATGTTCAGCAGTGGACGTTCTGAGGCTGAAATGATGATGATGTTGACTAAAAGTTTTTTAGAAGACGGGAAAATGCAGACCCCTTTTTGAGAGCAAATACGACAGTCAAAACAAAAAGCAAAGCAAACATATTTTTTTACATATTTTTTTCAAATATTTTTTTAACATAAAAAAAAACATCTAAGTTCTGCAAAACTGATGTATTTAAATTGCCCACTATCGTAAAACGTTTTAATCAGACTAGTCCTCTAAAAAGGCAGTATGCGAAGTAGATAGCAGCTCAAATGCATACGATTGCCTAAGAACGCTAAGGTCAGACCCGGGCCAGACCATATGGCGTCTCGAAAGAACATAACTTAATTGAATATTTATGTCCAGCACAACTAAAGCCAATGCCTTAAAATGGAGAAGAATTCTAATGTCTTCATTGGAGCTGGTATAAATAAGCCGATACCCGTCGAGGACTTATTAGGCAGAGCAGCTTTCGAATAATGTATCGGTAGCGAGTATTCGGAGTTAGGCAAGTCTAGGTGTGAATGGCGAATAAGTAAGTTCTTATACTTTGTGACGTCTGGCCGCTTTCCTAAACGGGAGATAAGCTTAATAGATTTCAGGTGTTGTAGTCGAATGTGCTTTGATTTTAATTTTAAAGCCTTCGTCGAATAGTAGCGCGGGATAAGACCAAACTGTGCCAGCTATCGTCAGAACGTAGTAGGGGAGAGTTCGGTATATTGTACCGCCGGGTAAATTGTACCACCCTCATATTTCGTAAAGTATTTATTGAATGTCTGTAATTGCAACACTCAGCGATACACAACTAAAATCAATTAATATCGGCCATGTGGTTTTTGCCGTGACAATTAACACGTGTGTTTTATTTTGAAAAGTATTTTTTCATTGTTTTCAAGTAACTTTTTACAATACATGTTTAGTTTTATAATTTTGTTAAATTTAATCACAAGGCGTTTCTAATATATTATTTAGAAGCGTAAATTAGTGTGAATTACAATTATTTGAAACATTTTTCGGTATTTATAAGCTATATTTTTTACCGATTTTTTAAAAGCACTATCACCTAGTCGGCTAAATTGTACCACATCAAGTTGTATGGAACTTTACCAAAGGATTTTGAAATTTTTTTTAGTAAATCATATTTTGAAGTTATAATAGCGTAGTTATGTTTGACTAACAATAAATGAAAGCAAAAGACTGGCAAAGTAGATTAGGTACAAGTGTGCGTTACGATAATTGGAATTACAAAACTTGTACTCAAAATCGTGATAACGTGTAAAACTATATCGATTGTCTATGTTATTAACTCTTTCCATTTTAATTTCCTTTTCGTTTCCTAATTTGTTAAGAATGTATCGTATAATATTTTGGCATAGTTTTTTTATAGGCTTGAAATTTATTGAAATCCAATTTAGTTTTAGGATTGCACAATCAAATAAAAGTCACTTATGTTTTTGTCCACAAGTAACCCTGTGGTACAAATTATCGAACCGGTTGGCTAAATTGGACCGAAGCTCTGAACTCGTAATTTGTTGATTTGTGCTAAATATACAAAAATCATGTTAATTAATACTTATGAAATAGTAAGTTGAATAATGTATCTTTTATTATATACCATGGACATTAGCAAAAACAAAAGAAAACTATGTGTAAAATGGGATTGAAAAAAACTGGTCCAAATTAGCAGACTCTCCCTTATGTTATTAGCGCTCGTGGCTTGTTTGACAGTATAATGCTGTACAGCATAACTCAGAATCAAGTAGTAGAGTTTTAGAGACGAATCACTGCAATAACAATCTGGCGCAGGTTGCTGGAAAAGCCTGGATGCGAGCAGCACAGGACTGGGCGTTGTAGAAATCCTTGGGGGAGACCTTTGTCCAGCAGTGGACGACTTTTGGCAGCACCCCTAATTTATTTTTAGTTGCAATAAATTAATCATTTCCCTTCTGAATTTGTTGTCCAAACACAAAATAGCTCGCGAAATGTTATTTTAGTTTGTTTACCAACTTTATTTCCTTTGGCCAGCAGAAACTTTGGCGCTCTCCCGAATGTCTTAATTGACTGCAACATGTTTTTACAGCAAACAGGTTCGGAGTAAACTTGACACAGAACTGAAGCTGCATTGTGAAGGAAATAAGATGATCTATAATGGCATAAGTATTTGTCGATCAAAAACACTTTGCGAGATCGGATTTTTTCTGAAAATACGGACAGACATCACGAAATACGACTTTTCAAAAAATAAAAAAAATACAGCAATTTCTTTTTATACATAATGTATGTATATTCTGGTACCAAATTGAAAGAAGGCTTTACAATAGGTAGCTAACGCCCTTATTCACAAATGATGCTTGCTTAAGTGAAGCAGCAAATCGAACGCACAGCATTGAATTGAGCTCTGCGATTAGTTCGTATGTCACACTGTGCGTCCACGCGCACTATGAGACCTCATAGTAATGTTTGTGAATACGTGCGTAAAATACTGATGCTGTTAGTAAAGACACACATGTAGTTTAATGCTACGTTAGTATCTTATGCAACTATAATAGCTGCTATTTTGAGTATGTGATATGCTGTCACCTTACATTCTCAGACAAGACAAGGTAATAAGATACACATCGATCATGTAACCATTATGCAGATACCTCATTAACAAAATAGAGAAAACGTAAGTCACATACCGCACTGAAACAAGAATGTGACAATGCATCAGTGTACACAAATGGAACGATCCATAACGCCAGATATCTGTGTTACATAACTTTATGTAACAATTGAGCCGCTACGTCCAGTGATAATTGACAATATCGATAATCGACTACTGAACTGGTTGTGATTGTGAGTCACACTTGTGTAACAGTTCTACATTTGTCAACAAACCAAATATCACGTTATAATACAACTGTTGATCATGCATGACAGTAGTAAATTAAATCATCCAACACAATAAGCAAATGCTAAATTGTAATAAATATTGAGTATCAAAACATTTTATTCAAGTGTAAATAACTATAAAACTACTATAAATTTATCAATAAATAAATTTGTTGGTGGAGCTTTCCCATGCCGCTCTATGGCAGCCATCTTTTCTATCACTGATTGTAACGCCTTAAACAGTCAACTGTTTTTTATCAAACAAAAAAACATCAGCTATCATTCAACACTGAACGCAGAGTTCGTTGAACTTTAACAATCTACTTGCGAAAAAGTTCACGTGTGTCGAGTTATTTGTTTGGCGCGTGAAAAATAAACGCTGGGGAAAATGCGTGAAAGAAAACATTCCTGACATTTTCAATTTCCTTTCTATTACATAAGGTTGTGTATTTCCAATTTAGCTTCTACCTTAACGGGATGAGTCTATTAATAAGGCTATGTAGGCGTACTTCTGAGTTCTGTTACATCACACTCCATTCAAATAAGCAAACATAATTCTCTTTCTGTCACTGATAACATCTTGATCGTAATAAATATGAAGCATTAAAGATAATAGTTTTGTTTATTAATGAACGAGCCATTATTTGGAAAGTTATGGTAGATAATTGAATGATCAAACGAACTTACCAAGTGAAGTTCGATCTAAATTATCCTGTTTTCGCCGAAGAGATTTATTTTACCATGTAGTACCCCTGTACGACAACCCAATCCGCACACAATATTCAGCGTAGTAGTATTAAAAAACAAAAGAGCGGGCAACCCCACCCCTACCACGCTGTGGGCTCGGNCTTTGTGCGCGAGCCCGACTCGCACTTGGCCGGTTTTATTATTTTACAGTTGATTAATTATTGTACAACTTATTTAATTCAAATAAGTACTTACTATCGTTTCTGAATTTTTTATTTTCCGTCTGCGTTTCGTGAAATTCGCGGATTGTACATCTACAATAGAAAATAAAATAATGATTCACACTGAAAGATTTTTTAAAGTTTTAGAGATTTTTAGTAATTGTGAAAAATACTAGTACCTTACTGAAATTTTAGGTTCAGTTAAAATATTCCGACTTAGCGAAATCATTAGAAGAACTTAATTTTATAAAAATGAAATTCCGATCATTACGGCGAACCATTTCGTTTAAAAAAAATCTAATATTCAAAGGATTACCTAAAATTATTATTGGAGTCATTAAAGTAAAAATTTAAATCATTATATCTATTGACTAGGATTTTTAACACAGAAAAATGAATAAGGGCGAGGTTCAAAAATCTGGTTTTCCTATTACTTAGTACAACCCTAGTAGGTACGTAGGATTTTTTGTAGTAAAGTTATATTCCAGTTATTTCACACAAGTCATCTACTTAATTAATTTATCACTGCAGTACAAAATATAAATCCACACCACTTCTGAAATATTTGTCAGCAGCTTCTTTGAAATGAGAGAGCCTCGAAGAAAGTTTAGAATCTCCGCTGTCTTGATTTAATCTACTTACACTAAAAGGTTGGAAATATTTTGAAGGAAGAACATTTCGAACTAAATAATGTCCGTGAGGTTTCACTACTATTTGTGAAATTCTCTTTTAATCTCTGAATTCTTTCAACAATTTTATTTTCCTATTCTGAAGTGCACAAAGCCTTTTCAAGTTTCAAGAAATGCAATTGTTATCTGCATTTGAACCTACGTACAATCTTTCATTTAGAAATGTTGTTCAGGACAAATTACGCTGCCCTCCCATAAAATTTTCTGGAATTTGAAACTTAAGTATTCCAGATTTGTTCCTTTGATTTTGTGACACTAATTCCTTTATAGAAGGATTTTATTTGCGGCTAAGTTCCGCTGCACTTCCAAAAATCCAATTTTGGAATATATTTCCTGGAATTATTATGTAATTAAATATACTAAAGGATCCCAGGACTTTCTTTTGAATGCGATACTAATCGGTTGGTATTATTTCAGAAGCACGATGGGCCACGCCGCGGTCGGGGTGAGCCGCGCGCTGGCGAGCTGCGCGTACGCACCGCGCAAGAAGTTCTACTTGTTGCTGCTGGGAGCGTTCGCGTTATCAGTCATAGTCCTCGGCTCCTTTACTTGTAAGTAATAGTCATAGGATTTTCAGCTTTAACACCCCAAATTACGATCTATTTCAACACCTTCAAGAAGATGCTGCGGCCAGCTGAAGGAGAAATGCTTCAGAATTTTCCTATCATTTTCTAGATATTTTAGTAATTTTCTTCAACACCTGCCAGAAGAATGGAGAGCAGAATTGCAGTTTGCAGCATGCAGAATGGAGACTTTATAACAGGAGTTACTGCGTCTGAGTACACCACTTCGGGAATGTTTTCTTTTGTGTTTTATTTGTGTTAGGACCACCGGAGCGCAACGCATCGTGTTTTATGCTTCGAGTTCGAGATTAATTCAATTTTGTCGTCAAAAACTTTTTCTGTAGCAATTATTACATTGTCTACATTACAATAGGTGGAGTATCTAACTCAGCAGCAGAAGTAGAATTATCCTTTGTTAAATTCATATCTCATTAAATCAGCGTTCATGTTTTTTATGAAAGAAAGTAGGATGCTTAAAATATACAGGGTGTGAGGTAAATGGGTATATGAGCCGACACTAGCCCATGTTAACATGGGCATATAAATGGAATGGTGAAGTCAGAAAATTGATATCTTCATTTTAATTATTTTAATTTTCATACAAATCGGATTTTATAAAATTTATTTTGTAAATGGTAACATGGGCTAGTGTCGGCTCATATACCCATTTACCTAACACCCTGTAATGTATGTTTATTTTTTTTCTTAAAATATTTTAAATTTAGTCTCACATAAATTCAACCTGTTATAATAAAATAATCAGTTTCCTAATTATTCAATGAGCCGTAAAAGTTTTGGTTGAAAGTTAATTATTATAGACGTTTACGCGACTTATAAATGTTATAAAAATATTTTCCATAGTAATTATTTCACTAACTCAGCGGGGATATTCCTGAGTAATTTTACTAACTTAGCGGGACTTATTTTTTATTATTAAAACACGATACAATTGTTACTTAGATGTTTAATAAAATTTTCCCTTACATTGAGTATTTGGTTCAAATTATAGAACTTCAAAATTGATACCAAACTTACTGTCAATCATTAAAGAACAGCAATATAGTCAAAAATTAAAATAATTTACTAATTATAAACAAATTAATAAAAAGATATCTGTCCATTTAACGCCTACTGGCTACACATTTACGAAAATTGGAGATGGTTTTATAACTGAAAACCCGCTGCCCCAACAAAAGAGAAAAAAAATCCGAATGTAACAATAGGTTCCGTATCTCAAAGGGGCAACAAGTGGCGGTGTATCTCGCGTGCTTTAACAGGTGTCAGACTGAACAGCTGATTGCTTCAGGGTTATAACGAAGTAATTGGTTTGACACTTCGGTTGAGTTCACGTTTTATCACAATGTAACAATATTAACGCGGTTTTTGCCTCTAATTGTTAATAATCATGAGAACGCAGCATGCTCTTGTTCAGTTTTATCTGTTGAATTTATCCATAGTGGAAAAATAATGACGTCTAGAAAAACATATTTACCTATTACTAAATAATACGAAATCAGATGTTCGAATCAATATCAGATAGAAAAATTCAATATGTTTATACCTTTTAAATTATTACCTTTTAAATCCATAAAAATGGTAAAGAATGGACAAACTCATTTTTACTGAAAACAGATTACAAGGAACAAGCAACCATCCATGAATTTACGGCCTAAATTATTGAAAGAAACTGACCGTAAAAACGGCTATTTTCATTTCTGAACAAAAGACTATAAAAACACCTTAAGCACCTGTTGTGGATTTTAAAGCAGCTTTATCACACCAACGAGTCATTTAATTACAAATTAAATTCCCATTCAATTATTAAGTCTATAAAATTTTAATTGCAATTGATTAATCGTAGAAAACTCAATGTAAAGATTTTTACTACCGATGGATGATAACCCTATAAATGTTCTGTGGTGTATCTATGTGCCTATTGAGGTTAACGTTAGTTGATAGATTTACAAGTCGGTTTTAAACACACAAACACGTCATTAATTAAACCTCTCAGCTATTAACGCAAAAAACATCGGTTCAAATGCCTACGTAACGTACGTAAATGCAACGTTTCCATGAACGTAAATCTAAAACGTGTATCTAAACGTCGAAAGAGACTCGCTGTAAAGACTGCTATTTCGTGTCAAATTATAGACACAAACAATAAACCTAACTGCAAGTAATTTCAACAAAGCAAGGGACTTTCCTTCACTGAATGTCTGAATACGCCCATAATTGTAAGCGCTCGTACAAATTAGGTGCGCATAATGTATCCTTTGACGACGGGAAGACGTCCTGACCATCTATTACTGGAAAATTGTGTTACAGATCGTTGTAACATGTAACTTTATGCATTAATCATTATAAATAATACTGGCACGAATTGACCACTTACGTGGAAAAAATTCTTAAGCTGGACCTAGAAATGGTAATATCCACTTCAGTCATTCAAATCGCACGAAAGTTCTATACCACACTGCAATTTTAATCACGGTGGTGTTTTTAAGTCTGATTCGGTGTCTATTATCGAAATATGATTAATGTCCTTATATTGAAAACCTTTTGATGGTTTATGTTCATTGGTTATTGGAAGAATATGCCTTCACGTACCAATAAGGTAAAAGGTACTTTTATCCATCGCTGGGATTAGTTATGATCACTTATGGTACTTTACATCGCAGGGAAATTTTCCCACGCTACATTATAACTAAGCTATCACTAAGCTTCTAAGTCTAAGCCTTTGTGTATGCGGTAGTGATTTCTCAAGTCTCTCACTACATTTATGTTACGGGCCAAGTAAAGTAGTTGTCAAGAGAAACTTAAGTCTAGCTAATGTAAAGTTAAGCTGTGTCTCGCAACTCATGCTAGACATCATGTTTATGGTTTATCGATTTCTTCATCCAGAATGCACGGCTTAGTGAATAATTTATAGAATTAGAGCTGCACATAGATGTTTGCGTTTTACATTATGCGAGGGTTTATTGTTTTAGTTAATGGCGTACTAATGGAAAATATTGATAGTTTAAAAGATATTAAATTCCTAAAGAGTCGTTTTTAGGGTTCCGTAGTCCTGACAAGGAACCCTTATAGTTTCGATATGTCTGTCTGTCTGTCAGTCCGAGGTTTTGCTTGGAAAGTATTGGCACTAGAGAGCTGTAATTTTGTGGAGGTATGTATATTAATCACGCTGACAAAACGGTCAATTTCTTTTTTCATCTTGTACCCCATTGTGTGGGATATAGTTGGATAGGTCTTTAAAAATGGCTTAGGGGTTTCTAAAGCCCGTTTTCACCATCAATCCCTAATTTTTAAGTGACCCATATGAAAACAAAATTCGTGTAAATGTGTTACCATAGCTGCATAGGGGTCACTTTTTTCCACTATTTTTCCATTTGGGGATCTGTTTGCAAATTATTAAAGTTTAAAGTGCCCGCCCCCCTCTAAAAACTAAACTGTTGGCTTGAAAAATCTGGAAAAATTCGTAATAATTCTGCTTTTCATAAACTTTCAAGGAAAACTATAACGGTTAAGATACATCTGTTAGTCATTTGACTCATGTATTTTAAAATTTCTTAACCAGTTCTTTAGAAGAAAATATGAGAAGTGACTTTAGATGAAGTATTTGCTTGCTTCTGAAATATATTGTGATAACGACGGACAACTACGGAACCCTACACAGCGCGTGGCACGACACGCACTTGGCCAATTTTTAATATTAGATTTTTGCATTTCCGACTTATGTCCAACTCCACCGATCGTAACAAAACTAGATTGTAATAAAGTCCACGACAATGGTTCTGTGATTGACTTTACTCTAATTGAAACAAACATCTATAACGTCTTTGATCTAAAATTCAACCCCTCTATTCCCTACACAAATGACAGACTGTTTCTTTGCATAACGAATTGACTGATGCACGTAGATTTACGTCGACTGTGACATAAAGTATGCAGTCGCGTGTCAACTGCTACGAGCGGGTTCCCACGGGCGTTGAAGATGTTGCGATGTCCCCAGTAGTGCGGAGCCGAGCTGACTCGGTGACACAGAAACATATGCTTTTTCCACAATGTCTTTGACATCAAATTTCCCCGCATTGTTTCCGAAGCTTGAGATATCGCACGGTGTGATTAAATTTTGAAAAACGTTCGAAAATACTTAGGAAATGCAAACAATAAATAAACAAGGATATCAAATTACACGTCAAAAAGCTTTTGTTAAAATATTTTGTCGCGCTCAATTTATCTATTACTCGCACCGTATTATTAAACTGTCATTAGGTCATTGTGTATAATGTATTCCACCTCCTATCACGTCACGCCGTCTATTAGTATTCTATAATCACTTTTAACTACTTCCAGTAACTTCACAGTAAAATCTTTTATGATAGTGGGAAACTCAGTTAAACTTGAATTCTCATGTTAAACTAGCGATGTCGGCCATAAGGAATTCTGCTTTTGGCATAGTTATTTACCGATTGATTGACGGTATTGCAACGTGACGATGTTGGTACCAATGCAATACATCAATCCCAATCTGACTTACGGTGGGATTTTCCTGTTGATATTAACTAAGTTTGGCAGAGTATGGTAAATAGCTGAAAGGGAAAAAATATAGAGCTAATAGTTTTAAATTATTAATGTAGGTACAAACGGAAATGGTTTCTAAAGGACCCGTACTTAACACAAATACGAGTACTCGTGTGTAGTTAATAATATCCACCTATTTTGACAATACTAAACAATTTGGAGTATATTCGTGTCCATTATGTGTATTTTATGCTCTACTGAACAGGAACCGCAACATTATTTGCAACTAGGTTTCGCTCGTGGCTCTAAATGTGAGGGAATGACGAAAGCACCAAACAAATTTCATGCTTTTTACTTTACGTTTTCCTTTTTAACATTGTTTTAAAAGAAAATCCGAACCAAAATAGACTGAAATGTGTAAGGGGGTAGAAGTTTGGAAAAAGTCACATGGAAGGGGGTTTTTC